TCGGTCGATACGAATCTGCTTTGTTGGCAGGATTCCCCGGTTTGACCAGTGGCACCACTCTCCCCACCTTCCAGATGTCTGGGATGATGAGAGTTGTTATTGACAAATTGAGGACCTCCGTTAGGTACACTACTCCAGCAGGACCCAAATTTTTCAGCATCAGCATGCATATTCCGTCGGGACCCATGGCTTTGGAGGTTTTCGCCTTCCCGATGGCCACCTGAACTTCACCGCAAGTGAAAGCAAGGGGGGGCCCAAGTTGTTTGCAGTTTGTGCAGCCTTCTGGTCACTCGATGCTTGGCTTTGTCCACCGGAGAATGCAGTATGAACTGCCAGCTACAATAGCTCGCGCTTCGCTCCGTGTCCGACGTAGCATGGTCGCCGAAAGAAATTTCGACTCTGTCATCGTGCTTCGTCGGATTAGTCAGTGACCCCACGGTTGACCAAAGCTTACTCACACCAGAGGTGAAGTCCCTGTCTTCTGATGCTCTTCCCACTTCTTCCGCTTATGTACGTCCACAAGTTGCCGAATCTCCGCGTTGTGATCCCTGATACGGAGCTCTCCGGGATCGGCCTGACGAAAGTTGTCACGCTCATCGGCTAGAACAGCCGCTTCGGCAGGGAATTTTGGACGTGGGTCCGTTATGCATCCTGCCGGTACGAAGCGAGCTGTAGCAGCGGTGACAGCCCTGCGGAATTTACGTTCACCAAGGTGGACGTCGGTTGGTGTGAGGAGAGCAGCGAAGGTGTTTTCAGTAAATTCCGCGAAGCCTTTCCAATCAACTTTAGAAAAGTTGATATAGGTCCGTTGTTCCGCGGAAGCAAAGTCGGTTGGTTTATCGATCGAGATGACTATGGGCAGATGGTCTGATGCCAAAGTCAGCAAAGGACGCCATGATATACCGTTTATCAGACCAGCGCTGACTATTGTTATGTCTGGCGAGCTGCAATATCTGGCCATAATCCTGGTGGGTGCGTCGTCGTTCATTGTGCAGAATGTCGAATCGTCTATCTGCTCAGCCAAGTCAGTTCCCCTACGATCGTTTGACAGGGTTGAGTGCCAAAGATCGTGGTGCGCATTAAAGTCACCTACTACCATACGGTTTTCACCTCTGAGGAGCGCACCTATATCAAGGTGATATCCTGCCGGGCAGCAGGTTACAGGGAGTATGTACACGTTAAATATTTCGAGCTCAACATCTAGGGTGGTATCCCTGCGGTTGATGCTTGCTTCGATAAGACGATACTGCACGATGTGGTGCGTGATGAACGCTAAGCCACCACCATTATCTCGCTCGCGATCTCGACGGTGCACGTTGTACCCGGCACAATTCAACAATGTTGGATTGCTGTGCAACTTCGTCGCTTGGACCGCAGCTATCAATATACCATGCCGACACATGAAGACGGTTATCTCCTCGATCTTGCTCTGAAGCCCGTTACAGTTAAATTGAAGGAGCTTCATGTGGTTCGGGAGACGTGTGGTAATGCGGGGTGTGAGAGATGTGTGTGGCCCTGACGCCATTAGCTGTGTGCGCTGCTGTGGTGGTTGCCGCCCAGTGGTGGTTGCCGCTCTGTGGTGGTTGCCGCCCTGTGGTGGTGGTGGGTGGCGTCGCAGTTGGGGTTTGCGACCGTGCAGCGCAACACGGGCTTTCGAAGTTCCTCGCCCAATCTCGCGTGGTGCGCAGAGCTGAACATGCCCTAAAGTGGCACCAGCCAAGGCAGGTGTTGCACTTGACTGATGTCACATGACGGAATATCCTGGTCTGACATACCGTGCAGATTGTAGGAGGGACCAAGAGTTGTTGGCGGCGGCGTGTGGGTGGTGGTGCGGTTGTGCACCCACGTCACTGTTGACAGTTATAATTTCGAGAAAGTGGAGAATTTCGTTTACTTGGGAACCAGCATTAACAACGATAATAATGTCAGAACGGAAATCCAGAGCAGAATCACTCTTGACAACAAGTACTACTTTGGACTGAGTAGGCAATTCAGGAGTAAAGTCCTCTCTCGGCGTACGAAACCCACACTCTATAAGTCACTCATCATGCCCGTGCTGGTATATGGTACAGAAGCATGGACAATGACAACATCCAATGAGGCGGCTCTTGGGAGTATTCGAGAAAAAGATTTTGCGGAAGATTTGCGGGCCTTTACGCGTTGGCGGCGGCGAGTACCGAGCAATTCCAATTGGCGTCAGTTGGCATAGAAGAGAAACGACTGGCGTGCTTTGTTGAACTCGGCCAAAATCGCTTAGGGTGGTTACAGCGCCAAATATTAAGAATATGAAGGTTAAGAATGAGTTGTAAACGTACGTCTGGCCGTCCAATACACCGCCCGAACAAGGTATTGGCACAGCAAATTTTTCATAATATATGCAACATTTTTTATTCTAATATTTTTTTGCCAATTTCGTATAAAAATATTCAACAACAAAAAAACACAAATATATAATTTCTAAGCTTTGTGCGATACTCGCGAAAATTCAGCAAATTTTCATCAAAATTTTCAACTTTTTAATCAGATTTTTGAGAATTTTTTTGAGTATGCAGTTTTGCAGCCCATTAAGTTCTAGTGAAAAAATGCAAGTTAGGAGTTAGTCAAAAATCGTGTTGATTTTTGAGAATTTTTTTGTTGAAGGTGTTTTGCATTTTTTCCATATAAAGTATTTTCGAAAAAAATGTCTTGTATGGAAGAAACTGCGTGGAAGAAAAATACCAAAAATCAACAATAATTCCTAGCTACTTAAATCGTGCACATTATTATAAAAAAATTGATTGGGCTACAAATCTGCATACTCAAAAAATTCTAAAAAATCTTCTTAAAAAGTTTAAAATTTTCATGGAAATTTGCTGAATTCTCGCGAGTTTTGCACAAAGTTTAGGAATTATATTTTTATGTTTTTTGTTGTAGAATGAAATATATTTTTATATGAAATCAGTGCAAAAATATTAGAATGAAAATTGTTGCATATATTGTGAAAAATTTGCTGTGCCAATACTTTGTTCGGGCGGTGTATGTAGCATTAGAATCTCGTTATTTATTTAATTAACCAAGGAATACATGTACATACATATGTATATTAATGGTAGCTATTGACTTATATATATTAATATTAATATATATTATATATTAATTTTTAAATAACTTATAACTATATTTCCTAATACCACTCGAGGAAATGAGACCTCAATATCTTTGAAGCAGCATTTACATGAGGCGCAGCATTAACACATCGCTTTCAACAAAATCGCCTGTGTAAATTGTGCTTCAATTTTCCAGAGAGGGATAAAAGCGATTGGAACTTTTCAGGCAATGTTGAATCACCTCATATAAATGCTGCTTAACATCGTTAAGCTTTATAAGAGTTCGCGATATTGGAACATGATAAAAATTTCCTTCTGCAAAATAACGGGCTTAAGTCTAAAATCAAGCATCTAGATTAGTGATCGTGCAGCAAATCTGATATGCGCTCTATCCTGTTTATGTAGGTGACTTGAAAAGGACGCCAGATAAAAATAGCGTATTCTAAACGTGATCTATCAAGTGCTATACATACGTTTTGAAAGTGCATGCATCCGAAAAATTAATACTATTCGCCGTTGAAAAGCTAGCATTGGACGCATTGGCGGTCTCGCTGTTGGCAGCCTATCTATCAGGAACATTTTGCACTTTTTAAGAGTTCAGGACGGCGTTTTTCTTAGTTTTGCACATAAAAGATCCTGAACAGTCAACCCTGCTAAACTGTTCTCTTTCCGTAATGTTTGGGTATTTCTATAGTGTTGTCATATTTTTCTTTGCCTCTTTGCGATCATGTGGTCTTTTCCTTTCACCTCAACCTTTCTTTTGATCCAATACAAGGGAAAAGTACCAACCAATGAAATTACTTTTCAGAACTTTTGATATTATTTCCAATTCCCTAGCCGTTTTCGCGTTAAATAAACTAAATTAAAGCGACACTCTTTGTGTTCTTACAGCGAGGGACAATTTCTTTCGAAGCAGTTATTGGTTTTCAGGATATATGTACATTAGACTGCATCACTCCCCATACAAAACAAAAATCGGTACTATTTTTCCGTTGGAATTATAAAATCTATTATATTTTAAGACGTCCACCAAAATATTTCGGAAAATTATTAAGATTTAAGTGAGCTGGACCGATTTGAAAATACCTCCAAAAATGGAGATTTTTATGAATAAAAATAGTTTCTTAAAGTTTTTTTTTGAAAAAATCCCCTCAAATGACAAAACGGTTTAATCTTAAAATATTTGCATAAAAATATTTTAAACAAATTAAAAAAAAAATTTGAACGGAATCGTAATGATGAGATTTTTGATGTTGTTTTTTAACTTTTTTCAAAGATTGGTAAAGGAAAAACTTAAATAACTGAACCTAAACTCTTCCGATTTAGACTTAAGAGGTGTCATTGGAAAGGTATTTTCTCACCCTTTTTATTTCTTTTCTAATAAACTCATTAAAAGGATGAAAGAGAAAGGTAGGATGAACGAACGTCATTCAAAGTTGAATTAAGATGTGTTGGTATTTAAAAAAAAATAAAAAATGGGACACGAATGACTCTTTTTTTCGACAGAAATAAAAACAGTATGAAAACACCTTTCTATCGAGATCCCATAAGTCTAAATAAGAATAGTTTTGGCCCAGTTATTCAAGTTTTTTGTAAATCAATCTTTGAAAAAAGTAAAAAAAACAGCATCAAAAATCTCATTCTTACGATCCCGTTGAAAATATTTTTAAGTATTTTTATGCAGATCTTTTAAGCTTAATCTGTTTTGTCATCTGAGGGGAATTTTTTCAAAAAGTTCTTTGAGAAACTATTCTTATTCATGGTCCAGCTCACTTAAATCTTAATATTTTTCAGAAATATTTTGGCGGACGTGTTAAATATAATAGATTTTGTAATCCCGGCGGAAAAACCGCAACTTTTTTTGGTGATGCAGTCTAATGTACATATATGAACGTGTGGATATGTCATACAAACCTTGGCGAAAACTCTATAGTATATAACCTTCATCCAGGTTATGAACGGATTTCTGACCACATAAGCTTGATTGTTGTGGCAGTATTCCCGTTGTTGAACTCGGCGTAGCATATCCATACTTATTGTGGGATAGTGTACATAACATCCTACTTTACATCCACCGATATAACGAAACAATGGCAATGTAAAAGCATATCCTGTGGTGTCAATATATATATCAGGCGGGAATCTGCACAGTGCTTCCAATCCCAAAATTATAGAGCCAAGGCTTTGTCCCAACAATGTAAAATACGGATATAGCTTATCTTCAACTAGCATTCGTCGTTTTAAATATACGAAACTCGTGTTTTGTTTATCCACATCTATATTAAAAGTACCTTGCACCTTTTCGAAAATACTGTTCGGTGAACTATCGATATCTCCAGTGTATATAACAATTTTAATATTGTCATATTTAGCCTAAAATGATATAAATAAAATAATAATTAGAAAAAGAATATGACACAAATTTAAAATAAAATGGGCTGACTTCCAAAACGTAAATTGCTTTGCATACCTACAAGGTATAGCGTTCCATAACGCCGAACTACAAAATATTGACAATGTATACTTTTCCGAAACGCACCCGAAAAGTTATCGAAACGCATCGCTAGAGCAATCAGCGCATCAGAAATAAAGTGGATGCTTCGTTTGTTATTGGTTACCGTTGGTGCTTTAAAAATGGAAAATTCGGAAAAATTTTACATTGCATTCATTGTATATGGTTGCAATGTTTCGCTACTCTGCATATACAAATAGTTTGAATGCCGCAGCATAACAGTATCCAAACATTGTATTGATACGCTTTGGAAGTCGGCCATGCTTAGTTAAGAACTCCCGAGAGCCTGGGCGGAAAATATTCTGCTATTCTTCTTGAATTCTCTCTTTAAGCGGATTTATTTCAAAACGAGGGCCAGCACAATGAGCGATCTAGGTTTCATAATAACGGCAAACGTTTTATGCGGAAATACTTATGGGCTCTTCAGTGGTTACTTCCTCGAATTTCTGATTGGCGAATCGCCAAAAGAAGAAGAATGCAGTAATTTATAGTCACTTGATTTTGTAGAATGATTGCAACCAATTTTTGTATTGTATGACTAAGACTAAAAGAATGGAGTCAATATTCAGACTAAATTTTGGTGACTGATTATTCATTTTTGAAGTCTTTTTTGTTAGTCATTTGATTTCAATCATTTGAATGAAGTCTCTCATTTAAGTAATTTTCAGTCATCAGGTATAGTTGGCCTGTAATGAGCAACCTGTATTATACCTGTATTATATGAATAAGTAATAAAGTGATAATACAAATGTATTGATTTAATTTACTTTTCGTGTAAAAAAAATGTTGTTGTTGTTGTAACAGCATGAAAATTCACAAAAAAGTGTTTGGGGAGTGTTGCTGGAGTGACAGTCCTTGGCCAGATATAAGTCTGGGTCGCTCCGGTTACGTAGACCCGACTGTCGTGGGAACATTTTTATTTACATTCGCTGCAATAACATTCTTGCTCTCACTGAATTTTGAATTGAATTGAACTTTCAAGTTTTTATTTAGCGCTTTTTAATTTAAATATTTATGGACATGGTGGCATTGCTAATAATGAGATAGTGACTCTGTGAAGAAATGGAACTCTCATTAAGAAATATTAAAATATCGTTTTAACTGTATCTTGTCTATGCGGACAAAAGGTTGATCGTACTCAACTGAAAGTGCAGAAAGTGCAGTGTGATAAATGCAAAGAAATTTCCATATCAGTTGTGTTGGTATTAACCCGACTAACCTCCATTTTTTGCTCTCGGCTGATAAACCGTTTTTTTTTTGCAAAGTCTTCTGTACGCTCGCCTCCCGCATCCATTGCACTGGATGAGAATATTAATGCCTAATCTGATTTGAATGCTAATGTTGCAGTTCCGCAACCGCAGCCTAACTCTCAGAAAAGCAAAAAGTATAAGCAACAATTAACACTGCAATCTTTGCTTAAGGAAATGTGTGCTCTTAGAGCTGAGAATTCGCAAGTGATTTCTCTTGTTAATGCTTTGCACGAAGATAAGGCACAACAAATCAAAAAAATTGATGATATACATGCCGAAATACATTCAATGCAGTCTACGCTAAAAGAAAAAGTTGTTAACATTGTACAACTTAATGCTGAAATTAAAAATCTTCGTAGCGCTGTCGACAGGTAAATGGAATGGTAAATGGCAAATGGATCGCCAATGCCAGCGGTTCGCTTCGTACTAATTCCAATGCTGATTCTGTTATTTCTATTAACACTTCTACTACTACTCCCTGCAGTAAAATTTAGAGACAGTCTGGCAAAGCGTTACTTCCAAGCTACATATTTCAGAACTATCTCTGAACTAGTGCAAAACGGCTGCAGAGCGGGATAGTTGAAACTTGCGGTGCAAGTGTACAAATGCTCACTTCTCGTACAATATGAAAGTAGCTCAGGTAGAAGACCTCCGACTTAAGCATCGTTGGTCGCGAGTTCAAATTACGGTGGAGGCAGTTGTGTGATTTAATGAACTTAAATTGTCGCGTGCCGCCTACAATTTTTTTTGTTTATAAAATATGTAGCAAACATGTAATCTCTAAAAGAAAAAAAAAAACGGAAAAAATATCCAAAAATGGGATCTTAAAAATATTTTTTTATAAAAAGAACTGTCCAAAACAGATCCGGTTAAAATGTAGTTGCAAAGTAATGCACTGGGCGACAATTGCAACCGCCAATGACATCGCGGTGCAGAACTGGACAGTTGTTGTTGTTGTTGTAGCGGCACTACTAAGCCCCGCCTGTTTCGGGTCAACTTTTAATCATTATCGTCAATCTCAACTAACGGTAGGCCCAGGAAACGAGCTGTTTCGATGGGGTCGGACCAAAGGGAGAGGGGTGTTAGTTGAGTCGGATTGAGCTGGCTCCACATGCCGGGCACTCATTTGGGATGTTTGGGTCGAGTCTGGACAGGTAGCTGTTTAGGCGGCTACAATATCCAGCCCGTAACTGAGCCAGAGTAAGGCGGGTCTCTCTAGGTAATTGAAGCTCCGTCTCTTCCACAGGTGGTGATTGGGCTCCGATAACGAGATTCCTAGGCCTGGAGTCGAGGTAGGTGGAGACTGACTCCCTATGAATGTCGTTAATCGCTTGTCTGTACGTCATTGGGTCCAGTGGTTGGTCTGTGTGCGTCTGGACTGCGTCCTTGTACACGAATAGGTGACCCCTGACGTGCCTGGGCGGAGGCTCCTCCTCCAGCAGTGGTCTGTTGGGGTGTTCGCTTCTGTGACACCCCACCAGGAACTGCTTACAGAGCATTTTGTTATGTTCCCGTACGGGGAGCACTTGGGCCTCGCTGTGTAGGTGGTGCTCAGGCGTCATCAGAAGGCACCCAGTCGCTGTCCGGAGTGCGGCGTTCTGACAAGTCTGTAGCTTCGTCCACTGCGTCCAACTAGTCCCCGGCGACCAAACAGGCGCTGCATAATTTAGAACCGGCCGGCCAATTGCCTTGTATGTTGCCAGCAACGTTTCTTTGTCTTTGCCCCAAGTGCTGCCGGCGAGCGACTTGAGGACCTTGTTGCGGCTCTGTACTTTGTTGACAACTGCGGTTGTGTGCGCGGAGAAGGAGAGCAGGCTATCAAAGGTAACCCCTAAAATTTTTGGGTTGTTCACCGTCGGTATAGGTGTGCCGTCGACGTGAATGCCTAATTCTAGACTGACCTCCTTCGTCCAGGTGGTGAAGAGGGTCGCCGTTGAGGAGAGGGTTAGGCTCCTTGCAGTGAAGAAGCGAGAAAGGCTGGAGAGATAGCCGTTTACTTTTGAGCAGAGGTCATCAATTCCATTCCCAGACGCCAAAATCGAACAATCATCAGCGTACGAGATCAGGGAAACTCCTTCAGGAGGCTGGGGGAGTTTCGAGATGTAGAAGTTAAAAAGTAAGGGGGAGAGAACACCCCCTTGTGGAACCCCTTGTTTTATTCTTCTTGGTTTCGAGGATTGATCTCTGAAGATTACTGATGATTGTCGACCACTCATATAATTCGCCGACCAGCTTCGTCGGGTTGGACAAGGACCTCACGGTTGACCCGAGCTTACTCACACCAGAGGTGAAGTTACAGGCCTTCAAGTGCTCTTCCCACTTTTTCCGCTTATGTGGATTTACCAGTTGCCAAATCTCCAAATTAAGGTCCCTCAAGCGAGGGTCCCCGGGGTCGACCTGGCGTAGGTGGTCACGCTCATTTGCTAGTACAGCTGCTTCAGCCGGGAAATTTGGGCGGACTTCCGCGATACGTCCGGATGGTATGAAGCGAGCTGCTGCGGCTGTGACTACCCTGCGGAACTGGCGTTCGCCAGCATGTACGTCTGTGGGTGTGGGGAGGGCGGCGAAGCTGCTCTCGGTAACTTCCGCGAAGCCGTTAAAATCAGCTTTGTTGAAGTTGGTGTAGGTTCGGTGATNGCTTCGTCGGGTTGGACAAGGACCTCACGGTTGACCAGAGCTTACTCACACCAGAGGTGAAGTTACAGGCCTTCAAGTGCTCTTCCCACTTTTTCCGCTTATGTGGATTTACCAGTTGCCAAATCTCCAAATTAAGGTCCCTCAAGCGAGGGTCCCCGGGGTCGACCTGGCGTAGGTGGTCACGCTCATTTGCTAGTACAGCTGCTTCAGCCGGGAAATTTGGGCGGACTTCCGCGATACGTCCGGATGGTATGAAGCGAGCTGCTGCGGCTGTGACTACCCTGCGGAACTGGCGTTCGCCAGCATGTACGTCTGTGGGTGTGGGGAGGGCGGCGAAGCTGCTCTCGGTAACTTCCGCGAAGCCGTTCCAATCAGCTTTGTTGAAGTTGGTGTAGGTTCGGTGATCCGCGGGAGCAAAGTCGGTGGGCTTATTGATCGAGATGATTATGGGCAGATGGTCTGATGCTAACGATAGCATAGGTCGCCATGATATGCTATATATCAGACCAGCGCTAGCAATTGTTCGGTCAGGCGAGCTGCTGCAGCTGCCCACAATCCTGG